TTGAATTAATTCTTATTAGTGGTGAGAGATGAGGGTCTAGTTTAATTTTTCTGCAGGTAGATATCTAGTTTTCTCAGCACCATTTATTGAAAAGATTTTCTTTTCACTTCTGGGTTGTCTTGTGCTCTTTATCAAAAATCAATTGGCCGTTTATTTGGGGATTTGCTTCTAGATTCTCCATTCTGTTACATTGGTTGGTCAATGTATCTGTGTGCTATCATTTTTTAATAAAATTGGTAAGTCACAGTAGGTAATGTTTTTGCCTGTTTGTTTTCATCATAGATCTTTTTATTTTAAGCACAATTGAGGAAATAGTATTTAAATAAATTTTGTTTTTAAGCATATAATAAACATTTTTAAAAGTTATTATTATTATTTTTATTCATATAGACAGTTTGAAAGAGAGAGAAAAGAACTGTCAATAGGGTCTTGTCACAACATAATTCTCTTTGCTTAGCACTCCTGCTTATCAGAATCTTAGGCATGCACACTCAGCATGTTTCAAATCAACTGGGCTAGGGATTCAAACATGGGGTTGGCCATATGGCTTCCAAAACTTTACTTCAGTACACTACTTACTGTACCACCAGGCTGGGCCTATTGTTAGTTTTTAAGTCCAGTGTTTCCTGAAATTAATTATTACTACTATAGATAGCTTAACTGTTGGACTATGAAGTTTTAATCAAACCATGATATTTCTCTAAAAGTAAAATATCCGAATTATAAGAAAGATGTATAGGAGTGAAGAAACAACTCTGAGAAACTACTATCATGAATCTAAACATGTGGACTAAAAACAAAATAGCAAGGGCAGAAAAATTCCACAACATATTTCTGACAATATTTGAATAAGTATATTAAAATTTAAAATGTAGCAAGCTCTTAAGGTTTACCTTTTCTACAGCTGGAACATGTAATTGATTATCTTAAAAGTTTTCTTGTTCTCACTTAATCAGCTGAAGCAGAAATGTGTCCTGGCACCTGACTTTTACCCTTTAATTTCACTTTAGCCTTCAAGTCAATGAATTCTAAAATGTTGCTAATTAAATTGATTAAACTGTAGTGGTTAATAAAAATTAAAGTACCAAAGAGCAAGCTAACTATGACCTTTTTTACCATTCATACCGATTAATATATTCAGAAGAAGAACTTGATTGATAGATTTCTGCTGCAAACCTTGGTGTCGGGAAATATCTGAAAGCCTTCCCAGAAATCTACAATTATAAATACTGATGTATTTCTCTTTGATACATGCATTAGGCTCAGTAATAACTTGTTCTAAAGCTAGGAATAAACTCATTTTTATTATGCTATTGAGGATACATACATATGTGATAAAATATATTTTAGAAAAGGACAGTGGGAGATATTGAATTCAGGAGAGTGGTTGCATGCTGGAAGGTGGTAGGGCCATGAGATCAGGCATAAACAACAGACATCTTCAGTGCTGGCTTTCTCACCCTTAGGACAGCTGACATTTGGGGCTGGATAATTCTTTGTTATTAGGGCGAGGGTATCCTGTACATTGTAGAAAGTTTAACAGTATCCCAGGACTCTACCCACTCAATGCTAAGAGCAGTCCCCAAACAGTGTGAGAACCAAAAATACCTTCAGACATTGCCGCGTATCCCCTGGGTGTGGGGCAGGGGTCGTGGTAAAAGACTGAAATGCTCCCAACTAAAAAGCATTATTTTAATAATATTGTAAGGTTTAGTTTTAAGTAAGGTGGAAAGTACCCAAGTGTCCATTTTATCCTTGTGCTTAATAATTTATTCATGTTACACATATTCTTTAAATATGTAAATTTTATATCATAAAACCTGTTAAAGCACCTGATAGTTGCTGTTCACAGGTAGCTTTGTGGAAATGAACTTGGAGATAGAACATGTTCAGTATTTATCATGAAAATCCATGGGAAATATAGAACTTCATATTTACTTTTTAACCAGAAAATAATGGCATATTTCTTTTTGTGTCATTATAATGGATATTTAAACAGGATGTTTGTTTTAAAATCTTCAAAATTGGGACCAGCATATGACGTAATGGCTACATTGCTGGACTCCCATGTAGTTGACCGTGGCTCGAGTCCCGGACCTGGTGGCTTAAACTCATGCCAGCGCATGTGCATGTGTACCCAAGATCCCAAGAGGAGAATGGAGGAGAAGGGATTGCAGCGTGGCCATCCCCCCTGGGGGATGATTTCTTGTTTCCTGTCTTTCTGTCTTTCTCTGTCTTTCTGATGAGTGCACGCGCCCTATAGCAAAAACCTCTCAAAAAAAAAAAAAAAAAAAAAAGAAAAAAAAACCTTCAAAATTGGGCCAGCTAGTGGCACAGTGGTTAAGTCAGCTAGGTTTCATATGACTGACCACACAGTTTGTGCCCTGGACCTGATAGTTTGAAAAACAAGACGGGCATGTATGTGTACATACCCAAAATTCTAAAGAGTTAGAAATGGAGGAGAAAGAATTGTAGCATGACTGTTCACAATGTGGGGCGTTTTCTCACTTTCCTTCTCTCTCACTTTGTCTCTCTCTAGTGAGTGTGCACACTCTTGCAATTTTTTTTTTAAATCATCAAAATTTGAATCATTTAAGCATGCAACAGATGCAACTAACTCTGCTAAAAGTTGCATGAATTTTTAGGCTGGAACTGAATTTTTTAGTTAAATATTAAAATCTATACATATATGTGTGTGTATAATATACATATATATATATTTTACAAAACTTCTAAAATTATGCACAAAATAAAGTACATTATCTAGTTAATAACATAAAAATAAGTCAGTGAAGAAACAAAGTCCTTCTGCAAACCAGCTTAAATAACAAGTAATTTGAAGAAACTCAAGGTAAAACATAGAGTTAGTTAGAGGAATGGCACAGACACAGACTGCCTTGCTGTCTCACTCCGTTTCTCTGTCTTACGAGGATATTGTTTTTTAGCTCTTCTCTCTCTCTCATTAAACTATTTAGACATTATATTTTCACTGTCACTTCCTCATACACATTAAAAACCCCAGCAGTATGAAGAGATTCATTGAAGGACAAGTCCATATAGACATTCTTAAGTGAAATATGTATGCTTGCAATACATCAAGAGACATGTTGTGGAGACTGAGATTGGAGCACCACTGCTGTAAGACATGAACCCCCAAAGTTGACAGCCACCACCAAAAGAGGTAAGAGAAGACTCACCCCCAGGTTTCAGAATAAGCATGGCCTTGCCAACACCTTGATTTCAAACTTCTAACTCCAGAACTGACAGAATATGTTCCTGCTGTCCTAGCCACCCTGTTTTGGCACTTAGTCATGGGAGCTGTAGAAAACTATTGGGTTGTCAGAAAAGTTGTGATGCATTTTTGCACAGAAAAACAGAAAAATATGTCATGTCTTTTCTGACAACCTAGTAACACAATCTCCAGGACAAATGCTGCTGCTAGTCCACTGGGGGTCTTAGGCTGCTGTGCCTAAGCTCATGCCCACCTCATGCCCATTCTCATCTCTCCTAATTGCCATGGTAACTACCCACTATGCACATTCAGATTTGGCTGCATCCACAGTGCCTCCTCTGGAGTCTGTGCCTCTACCTTGGATGCTACTATGCCAGAATGCTGGAAGTTGAGGAATATGTGTTGTTATCACGTATGGAATGAAGAAACTCCTCTGTCCTCAGAGAAGATCTGCATGGGTGCTCCCTTCTCAGATCCTCTTTTATTTCCATAGCCTCTCTTTTATTCCTTCTGCTACAGGGAGTCCAGATGCATAGTTTACGTATTGCTAAAACTGAGAGGTTAACTTCATAGTGCACATAATTCTCCCTCCTTTCTAATATCCTAGAATGTGTCATTGTGCATACACTGTTATGTATTCCTCCAGGAATGAAGATTTTGACAATAAGTGTGCCAATGGAATATTTTTCTGTTCATTAATATTAAGTATCTGAAGACAGGACAGCTTAGTTCATTAGATGTATGCACTTGGTCATTCTTTAAAAAAGAGTGGACCTTTCACAGAAATTTATTTAAATGACCTTGCATTAAGTATACTAATGCTTTTCTTGAGAGGTTATAAATGCACCTGAGGCAGCAAAATATAAAGGGTTGATGGTGGATTCTAACACATTAAGCCTTAAAAATTGGTGAAATTTAGCTCTTCATGTACATTTTTGTTGTTTTTTTTTTTCATTTTTGGTTTTAACAATTGTCTTGAGTGACCTAGATAACCATTCAAGTTTGTGTTTAAAGAAAGACCAAGAAAAGACCAGGTCAAAATTAAATAGCGAAAGGCAAAAAAATGAAGAAATCAAGACAAGTGAACGGCTAACAGAGTAAAATAATGTATGGAGACAAAATTTCTTGTTAAGGAGAGCTGTGATACTGAACAATACTGATTTCAGAATTATACGAAAGCTATTCCAAAACAGGCCCAGTCATGGTGGTGCAGATGGTAGGATGCCACTCTGCAATGTGGGAGCCATGGAAAGGCTCTAGGTCCAGATCTTGGGTCGACCCGAACATGCCAGCTGTGCCCATGAGCCTGGATAACTGGAAGGCTGACGGAGGAGATTATGGCATGGAGAGACCCTGTAAAGATTATCCCCAGTAAATAAAAACATAAATAAATGACTAAAAACCTTAAAAAACTATTACAAAATTTTTAAAGTGTGATGCCCCTTTCTCACCAGCTGTATGGTAAGTGATGGAGCCAGGATTTTAATGTAGGTCTGACTTGAGTAAGCCAATGGTCTTGTCATTAGGTACAGAGGCTCCTCCTCAGAGTCATAGGAAAAGTCTTATGTTTTCCTTTAAAAACATGTTTTTGTATTTATTATTTTGGGGACGAAGTAGCATCTTGGAGTCTTTTGTATACCGACTGGTGTAAATACTCGGCTGTCACTTGCGATAAACAGCAAACCATGGGTGTTGCTGCTGGTAGATGACTGATGGCCAGTGCAGGGCCTGGGAGCAGAGGCTGACTGGGATTTCCTTGAACTCCTAGGAGCCGAGGTGACCTACATGAACATGACCGCCTACAACAAGGGCCGGCTGCAGTCCTCCTTCTGGATTGTGGACAAACAGCACGTTTATATCGGCAGTGCCAGTTTGGACTGGCGATCCCTGGGACAGGTAATCTTTCCACATTATATAAACTCAAAGTTTCATCAGCATCCAAGCTATCACCTTCATAACGTGTTCAGCCGCATCTTCTGTGGTTGAGAGAACTAAAACTTACAGGGTTTATTATTTTTAATTATGCAGTTTTAAGAGATTTTCCTTCATTTAATGTGAAATGATAAACTTTTCCTTGTCTGGATCATCTTACAATATAGAAAAATACTGCCATAACTTCGATACTTTTGTAATCCAGTTGCTACCCCCAGATTCTATAGAGTAGATTGGTGTATAATTGTTATTACCTAGACCTCAATTTTCGGGATGATTATCTGAAAGGCAGAGGAACCTACATAAATTCAGTATAGTATAGTATGTTTTAGGATAGTGATTATTAAAGTTTACTCCTTTGGCAAATCTTAAGATGAAGATGCTATCATCTTTCTCTTTGCAACCTTGACTTCAAATATCTTAAACATACATTCAGGCAGTCTTCTGCTTTTCATATATTTATTTGTGCCAGTAGTGATACATAGAGGATTATAAAATCTCCATCTTCCCATTGGTCAACCAGTGGCAGAAAGTTATTGATCACTGTGTACTTGGGCAGACAGGCCAATGAGCATGCAGGCTACCAAGACCACCCACTCTTCATTTAGGCTGAGCTCTTTTCAAAATTAAGATCAGTGGATTCACCATTTGAGTTACGTGCACTTCAGTTTCTCTCTTATGAAAAAGGAAGATTTCTGACTGAAACTCTGTGAAAAAAGGCAACACCAAGCTGGATAAATCCAAGAGAGGGTAACATTGTATTTGTACTGTTAGCTTCACACATTAACCGTTTGACTTCCAATTTCCATTGTCCTGTTTTCCTTCAAGCTCCCATCTGCTTCTTTTATAGTGAGGCAGGTAAAGTGCTCAGAGGTAGAAGAAATAGACAGTGGGAAAACTACTAAAAACTGAATTATTTTCTTCTCTACTGAGGGGTAGAGAGAAAAAGTAAAACTTACTCAAGGTGGGTTTTCCAATTTTACATTTAATTTTAATTTTACATTTACATGTAAGGGATAGAGTAATCCAGTCCTGAGCTTTGTGGTCTATAATAGACAGCATTTTTCTCCAACACAGAAAATGCTATTGTTTTGGGATGGAGATACTATCAAAAATTGAGAAAACATTGTTTATATTTGCCCAGAAAATTAGGAAGTACTAGAAACAGGTTAAGAAATGATTCTAAACAAAATACTAATAACGGTAGCAACATCTAATGTATATTGGGTTGTCAGAGATGTCATGGAGCATTTTTTCCTATGTAAAAATGTGTCATGACTTTTCTGACAACTCAGTAGTAAATGCCAGGTGCTATTCTAAGCCATTTAAATGAATGATTCACTTTAAATCTCACATGATTCTATGTGGTAAATACCATTATTGTCTCATCCCACAGGTAAGTGGACTTGAGTCCCGAATTGAGTTTTGATATTGAATTTTAATGTGAAAAGTATTAGTTTTGACTTAATATGTTTCTTTTGTCTGATGGCCCTTCAAACACATGTATAAAAATATTGATTATAACACCTTTGGCATACTTCAGAAATAAGAAGTAAGGCAATCATTGTATAAAGCCTCATTAGAGTGTTTAGGAGAAACTAGCCTAACTATGAAAATCTCCATTTATTTTTTGCTTTTTTTGTACCTAGTAAAAGTCAATCAATGAACAACTTCTGCCCAGAAATTATCAGATAGCTCTCCTATAATGAGTACATAAAACTGGTTCTATTACAGTATTGATTGTGTATAAAATCTGCTACTAAGTTGTTTTTTAACTCGAGTATAATTTGCTTCTTTTTCTTTTCTTTTTTGGACTTTCCTACCATAAAGCTGTATTAAATTTAACTTGGTTATTAACTGATATTAATAGATAAATATGGTAAAATCAAGTAAGGATAGCTGCAAATTATGTCTTATTATTAAAATGAAGAATCAAATCCTTCTTATGATCTTTTCTTGCATACACATTCTCAAAGAGTAGCATGACTGCTTTCATACTGTAGAGAAGACCAGAGTTGCCCAGGAGTTGGAAGAAGTGGGAAAGCACCAGGATCTAATTCTCTGTTTCACAACCAGTAAAGCTCCTTTTCTAAGGATCCGTCAGCTCCTTGTGATTCATTTAATGTCATTCTCAGTGGAAACTGAGAATTGAAACCTCTCTAGCGTGAAACCTCTTCATACCATTGCATGAAGTCAAGCCCTACAGATCTGGGTGGAAGAAATGACATTGTGATCTAGTCATGTTGCTTGTTTGTTGTCAGCTGTTATTTTTATCTGTCTATTTATCTATTTATTTAATTGTTATCTTTTAAACCACACATAGAGAGGGAGGATAAACAGATTTTTTAGATTTGTTTCTTTCAGCTCAAATATACCAACATAGTTGTACTTTTGGTACCTGCATGGATTAACATGTTTCTTCAGTGTGAAATAAGTTGAATTCAGGGATCAAAAAACTTATTTTATTATCTCCCATAAATTCGTGAATAGGAAAACCAAGAAAAAGTGCTGAACCCTCCAAACATCCTCTTAATGAGAAGTCAGGTAGAGTCATACCAGCAAATGCATGCAAACTGTCTTTGAAGGAGAACTTTCGGAGTTGTTTGGAGAAAAGACAAGAGGCTTGAATAAAATGTGCATGTTGGGAACCAGCAGTTAGCGTAATGGCTATGTCACTGGACTCCCACGTAGTCGACCGCGGTTCGCGTCCCGGACCCGGTGGCTTAAAACTCACGCCGGGCGCGTGTGCGTGTGTGCCCAAGATCCCGAGAGGAGAATGGAGGAGAAGGGATTGCGGCGTGACCATCCCCCCTGGGGGGTGATTTCTCGCTTTCTGTCTCTATGTCTCTCTCTGTCTGTCTGGCGAGCGCACGCACCCTACAGTGAAAATCTCTCCAAAAAAAAAAAAAGTGCATGTTGATGAAAAATATTCAAGCCATATGAGACTTGCATTTGGACTTCTTTTGTGGAAATCTGCATCGTTCTATCGGTTGTATATTTTTTTTTTTTGAGAGGTTTTCGCTATAGGGCGCGTGCGCTCGCTAGACAGACAGAGAGAGACATAGAGACAGAAAGCAAGAAATCACCACCCAGGGGGGATGGTCACGCCGCAATCCCTTCTCCTCCATTCTCCTCTCGGGATCTTGGGCACGCACGCACACGCGCCCGGCGTGAGATTTAAGCCACCGGGTCCGAGACGCGAACCGCGGTCGACTACGTGGGAGTCCAGCGACATAGCCATTACGCTAACTGCTGGTTCCCTCGGTTGTATATTTAAGAGAAAGTTAGGCTCCCAGTGAGTCAGGAAGATGGGTGAGGCAGGTACAAGTAATCTTTTCCAAAAGACTACTATTTATGTGTCAGGCACTGTGCTAATAGCTTTATTTATATGATATATATGTATTTATTTCTCATAGCAACCTGAGGATAGAATTATCTCTACCTTCCAAATACAGATAATATTGGAAAAAATAGAAACAAAACAAATCCCCCCGCTACTCTTCTCTCCTGTAAAATAATAAAACACTCTCATCTGTGCAGGGATTAAGCATTTGGAGGTGATTCTCATTTTCTTTGGATTGACAGTTAAGTTGGTAGAGTCTGCTTCTTTCATTTCTTTAGTAATATGGGACTCACATATAGGGCAACCCAAAGTTGCCATTTTTTCCTTTGTCTGCTAAACCAAAGTCTTAAAAACTAAAATAAATCTTTATCATCTTAGCATTTTTCCTATTTTCCTTTTGGAATAGACTATATTCTTTTATGGGGCTGAAGAGAAGACAAGCTGGAGAGTAGACAGAGTTTAAAATTCTTATTTATGAACATTTGATACCCTATTAGTTTCCCTTCATGTATATTGTCAACTGCTACCCTGCTCAAGATTTCTCCTTCACTGACACCCACCCCTTTTCTCCTCCTCTCCATACCTGTGCGGATAGTGTCTCCTACCTGATCTACACCATTCCCGAGTGCTCAGTGTCTGGGACCATGTTATTGCAAACTAGTGTGCCTTTCAATGGCTTCACTAGGTGGGATTTTTCTTGGTCTACCTCAGCGTGATATAAAATGTTGCTCAGCAAGACTCATGCATGAGAACAGATTTTAAGTTGAGCCAAGTTGTGTGTAAGACTAACAATTACATTAAGAATTATAATATGTTGGGGGACCAGCAGTTAGCATAATGGCTGTGTCACTGGACTCCCATGTAGTCACCCGCGATTTGAGTCCCAGACCTGGTGGCTTAAAACTCAAACCAGGCATGTATGCATGCATGCCCAAGATCCTGAGAAGAGAATGGAGGAGAAGGGATTGTGGCATGGCCATCCCCCGGGGGGGGGGGGTCTGGCGAGCCCCCGGGGGGGGGGGGTCGGGGTGATTTCTTGTTCTCTGTCTCTCTGTCTGTCTGGTGAGCGCACACACTATATAGCAAAAACCTCTCAAAAAAAAAAAAAAGAATTATAATATGTTGGGACCTACAGATGGCATAATGGTCATGTTGCTAGACTCCCATGTAGTCGACCACAGTTCAAGTCCCAGACCCAGAGACTTAAAACTCTCGCTAGATGCATGTGTGTGTGTCCAAAATCCTGAGAGGAGAATGGAAGGAGGAGAAGGGATTGCAGTTTGACCATCCCTGCCAGGTAGGTGGGAGGTGGCAGTAATTTCTCTCTTTCTGTCTCTAGCAAAAATCTCTCTCTAAAGATACAAAAGGAAAAAAAAGGAATTTTAGTACATTTTCCAAATGTCATTTTCAACCTATATTGTCAATTTTATGTTTTTTGAAGTTTTCCACTGAAAATAAATTTATTACTATCAATTATTGCCTCAAATCTGTGGCAAGTAGGAGAAATAATGAAACTAGTAATAAATAATAACAGCGTCAATCATTGAGGGCTTTCTCCGTGCTAGGCGCATTCTTCTACACATACCAAGAGTATGCAATCATTCAGTTTTCACAGTAACTC